TTATTATTATTATTATTATTATTATTATTATTATTATTATTATTATTATTATTATTATTATTATTATTATTATTATTATTATTATTATTATTGTTACTACTATTATTGTTATTATTATTATTGTTATTATTATTATTTCTTAAAATTTTTCAAAATCCAGGCGAAAAAATTTCTAATTTAGTTCGAATTTAATTAAAAATTGAATAATTTTACTGATCAGATTTACCATTTGTTGTGAAATTTTTGCATAAAACCATTTTATTTAATTACAAAAAGAAATGATTCTGCAACAAATTAAATTAATAGTAAAAACACAGAAAAAACGAACAATTCTTTAAGCAAAAAAGACACTTTATTATTTCCTTATAATAATACATTTATCGCTCTTTTTTTTCCATTTCTTCCATTGCTTTTTCTATTTAATTAATTATTTTTTTCAGGACTCATCTTTCCGGCATTATTCCTGATATTCAATTGTGTATATTGGTTGAATTATTCTCGATATCCGGTATCAAAACCATTCTAATTAGCATTTACTTATTTTTGCATATTTGTTTTCTTTATTTGATTTCTTCAAAATTTCATTGACATTTGCATATTATACATGTAAATATTTAGAAAATAAAATATTAAAACATATCATTGCATGAAATATTTATGGTTGTAAACCAAAGGATTTTCGAAATTTAAATTCTTAAAATTAAATTTGAATTTTATTCATTTCATTTTTTTTCTTACAATTTGAAAGTTACCTATGCAAATATGTGTGCAAGCATAAAGAAACTTTTTAAATTCAGGAAACTGAACTACGTTTATAAATGAAATTTGAAATTATTTATAATTAATTGTTTATTTCAAAGAAAAAAGTAAATAAAAATAGTAATGAGTTTTTTTCGTCTTTTCGATACTTTTTTTTTTTAGTTACATATATTAAAGCAACATTTTGGACAACAAATAACATATTTCATTTGAAAAAAGAAATTAAAAATTCATTTTACCACAAAAAAAATCATTTTGTCACATTGCTTCTATTAATTAATTAATGCCCTTTCATCACAATTTTTCATAATTTTAAAATCAAAATCCGCTTTTTACCGGTAAAATTTTTTAATTCAAGAAAACAAAACAAAGAAAAAGTTCCATTAAAAAATTAATTAACTAGCTGGACCAAATATGCCACCTTCAAAAATTTGTGCCATAGCACTACCTTCTTCTTTGGTTGGTAATTTGGTGCCAAAAAGTGACCCAAACCAATCAACCTTATCAAGACGACCGCTTAATAAACTTCCTAAAAGATTGCTACCATCATCAATCGATGATGTTGTTGTTGTCATTGTTGTTGTTGTTGTTGTTGTTGTTGTTGTTGCTATTGTTGTCGTTGTTGTTGATATTGTTGCAGGTATTATTGTTATAGTAGTATTATTTCCACTTTTGCTAATTTTATCAAATATTGATTCAACTGATTTCATCGTTTCTTTAACCTGAAAGAAAAGAAAAAGTAAATTAATAGCTTTAAAAGGTTTATTATTATGAAAAAGAATAAAATTAAAATCAAAAATATTAAAAAAGAAAGGAAATTCCAAATTATTCAAAAATATTTGTAAAAAAAATAAATCCTTTTCTACAAATTGAAATCGGAAAGAAAAAGGTCAAATATGTAAACGATCATATATTTCATCCATTTTAAAACGAAACTTTTGTAAAAAAAAAAATTTATTTGTCATTAAATCAAATGTTACCTTTTGAATACCTGCTCCTTTCGCTTGTTCGACATTAACCAGTTGTCCCGTTTCTACGTCACCATCATTCTCGGATATTCCTGTTACTCTTATTTCGTCTACTTTTCCTGTTCCTGTTGCTGCTGTTGTTGATGATGATGATGATGATGTTAGTGATAGTAATGGCGATAACGATGATGATAATAATAGTGATGATAAGGATTTTGATGATTGTAGATTGCTAATGGTGAAATTTTCATCTTTCGGAATAATACGGGTAGTATTAAAATCGATATCATTGTTATCATTTGGATACATCGTTTTTTGAAGAATAGCTAATATATTACGAACTGCTGTCATCATTGTTGACACTTTAAAAAAAAAAAATGTCATAAAAATTTCAAAGAATTTATTTTTAGAATAAAAAAAAGCGAGAATTCTTTTAAAAAGCAATAAATTTTGATAATAAAATGAAAAATAATATTTTCTCATAACAATAATAATAATAATAATATTTTTTTTCCTTGCAAAGAAATTTTTGTTATTTATATTAAATTTTCACAAATTGTTTTTTCATTTTTTAAGTTTTAAAATGATTTAAATTAAATTTAAAAGAAAAAAAAAATCGATAACTTACATGGTAGATAAGTAGGTTGAGTAAATGTTGGCGATAAATAGTTATTATATGTTGGTGGGATAGTTCGAAATTTTGATGCATAATAAATCGGTGAAAATGTTGAATGAATTAATGATTTGTCATAATAACGATGTTGATGATAATTGTTATTATTATTATTATTATTATTGTTGATATATTTTATTGATGATATCTGTGGTTGTTTGGTGGTGATACGTGTTAAACGAAATGATCGAACATATGGTGGTATAGGAGAAGGTTGACGATTTGGTTCAGTATTAGCAGCTAACCATGAAAGCTCTGCTCGTTGTTGCTCATTTATTCCGGTTTTTAACCGAAATCCACGTCTCATTTCAATATTTGTCGTTGAAAATGGGATATTTGATTGTTGTTGAATATTGTAATGATGTAAATCATAATTCTGAAATAGAAAAATAAAAAGGAAACAAGAAAAAGTAAAAAATTGAAGTTACTAATTTCAAAGAATATTTTTGAATTTTTGGAAAAAAACTTTTTTATTGAAAAAAAGCAGCAAATCATTTGTATTTTAATGAATGTAATATTTTTTCCTTTTTTTAAAGAAACAGTTTGTAAATAAATAAACAAATAAACAAATAAATAAATATATAAATAAAAAATGAATAAACAAGTAAATAAGTAAATAAAT